TACCAGTCGACGCTCTCCGTTAGGATCTGCGTACTCCTCGGTCTTTCACTCCCACACACACATCAGCCGGCGCAGAGGAGAGAAGGGGGAATTTGCCGATGTCGCTTTAGCAGATTACTAGATTATCAGGGCATCGTGGTGAATTAAGCAGCGGCTAATTGTGGCATTTATTTTATTTATTTATTTTAATTGCTGTTCCTTGTCACCTCAGATTACACTTCCCTTGCCATAAGGATATCAGATCTGTCAGGTACTGGAGGGCTTTGGGATGAGGCCCACACACACGCAAACACACACACACATACACACTTAACTCCACCGCCGTTGTGTTGTTTGAACCTCTCCTCTGCTCTTAAACAAGGCTTGCCATGCCATTTTTAATTATCTTCATTTGAGAGTACAGCATTTTTTTATTGAAGTGGATTTTTTTCTTCCACCCAATTAGAGCAACAGAGTCAGTCATCCTTTATATTTGCTTTTATGGCACGATCAGTACAGTATGGCACTAATGGCCAAGGTTGGAGGTTTGATTCATCCTGAGGCCGCTCATGCAAGAAATGCTCATCAGCGGTGCTTCAGATAATAAAAGCAACCAAGAAGGAGAATGTGTTCAGTTGCTTTGTATATTAAACAACACTGAAAGTACAAAATCAGACTTACGGGCCTTGATTGAAATTTGTCTTCCTAAGTTCACTTAGTGTTTTGTTGTCAGTAATTTGATTAATTGCAAATTTGTTTTTTTAAAATCCACCACTAAATGGCCAAATCAACTAACATAGTGCAGGTCTTGGATTTTTTTGTTTATCTTGACTAGGCCCTGATCAGATTAAGCGCTTTTAGGTAGCCTGGGGCAGCTTTTTGCTTGCTGCTTTTGCAATGACTTGAATAAAATATGATCCACAAAGACCAGTTTGTGTACTGCTAACATGGTGTCAATCACTTTATCTTCAGTCACAACGATTGTGAGGTAAGCAGTATGGCATTCACGCTACAAAATAATCTACCTGGAATGTGGATTGTGCTTATTTGATGAGCAAACAGCGCTTTGCTGAATGATGTCGCATTCCCAGGTTAATTTCTTTGCAGATGACACTGCATTTTTCTGCTGAACTACTCACCCTCCTGTGTCAACTTATGGCCTCAAATAAATGAAGGGAAAGAGATTTTTCATGCAGGGCTAATGTTGGTCTGAATGTGACGAGAAGAGCATTATTTAAAATACTTGTGTAAAGAAGGTACATTACGCTCCAGTGGCTCATATCAGTTTAATTTGTCTACTTAACAGCCCAGGGTGCATTCACAATGCACAGACAGGTGGTGTTAGTGGTGGGGGGAGGTGTTATCGGGGGCAAACAAGGGGCTGAATTTTTGTCTCAGGACCGAAAACCTGGATAATTCACCCATGCAACAGTGGGTATCCCCTGCCTAATAGCTGAATTAGCTGGAAAATATATAATCACTCCTATCTTCCAATATGCACCGTAGACACTAAGTAGTGGCATATTACAGAGAAAAATATGCTTGTGAGTTGTAGTGCATTTTTTCAAATCTTTACATGCTGTAAATGCCAAAACTGTTCTGACTTAACCCACAAACCCCCGTCTGAGAGTATTTTTGTTGTTAGATGATTCAGAAAGGAATTACACAACTGTTTGAGGGCGTAACAGTGGAGAGCTTGAAACTAATGATCAAAGACAATGATCATGCAATCTGTCGCTGTACTAACTGACAGCATGTGGAATGAACTATTTTGGAATCTGTGAAGACTCTTGGCCATCCAGGTCATGGTATTTCTAAAAGTTGAAAGTCAAGGGCAACTTGCTTGAGATCTTGAAGATGTTTTCAAGAGTTTAAAAGCAAGTCCAGTTGCCTCTGACAAACATTTCTAGATACATCTTAAGAGACCTTTCTGAGGATCCCTCGGTGCCCCTGGAGCCCATTTTGGTGTAAACCTGTGCTGATGTAAACCATCAAACATTGATGGTCCAGCTGGACTGTTGTTGAAGAAGAGACTCAAGCCAACGGGGCCTCGTCTTTCTCTGTCTTGCTTCCTGAGTGCTCCTGCTCTGCCTCTGTTTATCCTCAAACATCCCCTCTTGTCAACAGATTAGGACTGAACCCCGCTGTCTCTTCCTTTCTTCGTCTCTCTCTGCCTCCATCTCTCTGTCTTTTGGCCTGTCTCTTTACATCTGCGCCTCTGCTCTATTCTTGTGACGGGAGAAAAGAGTGGGAGGAGGAGGGGGGAGAAAAGGGAGAAAAAGAAAGTCTGTGTGTGTGTGTGTGTGTGTATGTGTGTGTGAAAAAGAGAGAGCAAAGAGATGGGACAGGTGCTTGCAGTGCAAGAATTGCTTTGCTTGCTTTGCTTGCATGATCAGGCTGCAAAAATGTTCAGCTCAAGCAAAAGTGCTGTTCAAGAAATCGACTCTGAGAAACAGGCTTCCTCGCCTGTGGCTGGCGGCACAGTGTCGGATCACAGCGGCAACACGCTGCATCGGACCCACACACACATATACAAATACAGGGCAGAATGGTAATTACTGAGGCCCGCAGACGCACGGTCAACCACACAGAGATGTAGTCAGCCTGTGTTGGGAAGCCAGGCACACCACTGGACTGAGCGGTAAATCAGGCTGCTCAGAGAGAGACAGTCAGAGCTGTCAGCAGAGGAGAGCAAGCAGAAGACACCTGGAAGACTCCAAACAGGCTAAACACACATTAGGCTGCAGCTGCTGCATGTAGGGGACGGATTCACTCTGATCACATTTACAGGCTTACACCGGCTCAGCTGGAGACACTGATCTGCTGCTCTGCTGTTTCTGTTCTCTGCTGTGTTCTGTTTCTGATCTTCCCTGTTGGTTCTGTTGTGTTGTTTTGTTCTGTTTTTCTTGTTTTCTGTTGCATTATTCTGTCCCTGTTGTGTTTAGTCTCTGCTTTGTCTGGGTTCTACTCTGTTTCGGACCTGTTTGGTTCGGTTCTTTTCGGTTCTCTCCGCTCTCATTCTGATCTGTTTCTTCTGTGTTTCCTTTCTCTTGTGCTCCTGTTCTCTCATGTTCAGATCTGTTCGGGTTTTTGTTAGGTTCTTTTCTGTTCTGTCTGTCTTGTTTCTTTTGTTCCTTTACTGTTCTGCTTCTCTTTTGCCCCTGTACTGTTCTCCTCTGTTCTGGTTCGGTCTGTATTGCCTTTGTTCTGATCTGTGTTTCTTCTGTTCTGCTTTGTTCTGCTTTGTTCTGTTCTCGACTGCTTTTTGGTCTTGTTCTTTGCTCTGTCTGCTCTTCTTTGCTTTGTTCTGTTTGATTCACTACAGCTAGAATAACCAAACTTTCCTAATCTGCTTTACTCTCTCTTCTCTACATTACTCCTTCATGCGGCTACAACCAATACACTCAGTAGCCTTAGCCCTGATAAATCTGAGCGCCTTATAACATTGGTTGATTGACAGAGGCGTATCCTAGATGACTGACTCTGATACGTGATATTCTAAAAGCATCCATTCTTCAATCCAAGATGCTCAGACTGCTCTTTTAATTGCTCTCGCTAGCATTAATAATAATCTATTCTATTCTACTCAGGTGGTCAGCTCTGCTCCAGCCTGGGAGCTCCTCTGACTGTCTGTCTGGGCAGATCACCGTCTGTGGTTTATCACACCAGCAGCCTGCGGCACCGGGGACCCAGGTGATAAAGCAGGTACATGAGGCACACACACACACACACACACACACACACACACACACACACACACACACACACACGGTTGAACTGTTCACATCAGGCCACCTCAATTAATCACCTCTGTCTTTGGAGCCCTGACTGCCCTCAAACACAAGTGCACACTCATCCTCGCTTTCACTGAGGTGTGTGTGTGTGTGTGGGTAGAGGGAGAGAGAAAGAGGCCAATCTATCAAGGTGATCGATAAATAGGGACATTAATATTAGTAATGGGGCTCTCCTCCAGTCCAGTGAATATGTCTCCGTCTTTACGGTAAAATATGAATTTTTCTTGGCACCTGCACGTTTGCAGCGGGGCCGCGCGCATGTGCACGAGCACGCCAGACTCTACCTGCATGCTAAGAGGTTGATGCACTGGTCTCTATTCTCTCTCTCGCTCACACACACAGACACACTCTCTCACACACGCACGCGCGCGCAGGCTTTCTCTCTCGAGGGACACTTGCGCTGCTCTTAACTCCACTCTTTCTCTTACACAGACACGCATACACACACAGACTGAGATTAAAGGAATGCACGTGTCTGGTGCGTGCGTGCCGTATGTGCGCGCGCGTGAGTGTGTGTTGGAAATTGATCGAGTGTGACTCATGTTAAAGCCCGGTGACCAGACTGTGCATTGGATCCTCGCCTCATCAATCATCCCCGGCTGGCAGGCTATGCGCAGTGTGTGTGTGTGTGTGTGTGTGTGTGTGTGTGTGAATGAGTGTGTGTGTTTGTGTGAGCGCGTGCGTGCGTAATTGTGCGCGTGCGCGTGCTTTGAACACATCCTCTGTTGACCCACACTGCGTTTGTTTGTGTCAACCAAATCTATCTATTCATGCGTTTCAAAGGTCACGTCAAAGCAATGTCGTGTGCAGATGCTCCAAATCTCTCTCATGAACGTGTAATTGAAGAAAAATGAACGCAGCACGTCTGGGCCGTTTGTGTCTACACTCTTAAAATCTCATTCTATTCCCCCCAGCAGAGCGAAGACCCTGAACACCCCACGACTCTTTCCCCTCCAGTGCCTTTGGGCTGTAATGATGATGTCCAGGGCAGCGCAAATCTATAACAACATAACACATTTACGAACACGCACGCTGCCAGACATGTAGACGCACAAACACACGCACTGCCAGCACAGACAGAAAGACACCCACAAAGCGCACAGACGCCCGCACACGGCAGGATACAGAGGAAGGGTAAAAGGAGAAAAACAATTCGAGCATTAAAAAGAAACTTTCCGCTGTTGCTCGCGCCTCAGCCAGTTCAGACTGTGTTTAAACATCTCTCACCTTGGTTCAAAGTGATCGCCAAAGTTATGATCCACAGGGCTGGCATGGTTCAGCCGAGCGCATTCAGATTCCTCCCCTCGGCTCTGCTCTCCCGAAAAGACACCATCAATTCCTCCCGACCGGGTGAATTTAACTGGAATCCTCTTTGAGTCATGAGAGTGAAAGGAGCCAAATTAAGAGGAAAAAACCCGATGCCTCTTTTCCTCTCTCCTCCTTTCCTTTTCTCCTACTCGTTTCCCTGTTTTTCCCGTGCGTGAAATAAATCTGTCTCCACTTTTCTCTCTCTCTTGGTTTCTGTGTCTGCGTCCCTTTTCCTCTCTGCGCTTTAGATTCCAATTTTAACAGGACTGAATTCCTCTCTACCTCTTTTCGCTCTCTCTCTCGCTCTCTCTCTCTCCCCCTCTTCTCATACAATCAGTAGCACACACCCCCTCCCTCCCTCCCACCTCCTCCCCCACCACCTCCACCTCCTCCTCCACGCCTCCCCGCTCCAAATCTCCGTTTTGGACTCCACTGAGAGGAGGTGGAGGAGGAGGCGGAGGAGGGCGCTCCAGCGGCTGCATCGAGAATTGCGCTTTAAACAATTAAAACTTGTGTGCACCTTTAATCACGGAATATTCTGTAGCAGGTTATGGTTGTTAATCTTTTAAATATATCTGGATATTAGTCCTACAAAATCTGCAATGTGATGTGCGTCATGAAAGCAATTACAGGACAAATCACATTAAAGATACAGGCCAACAGAAAGAATATAGGTAGTTTCACTCTGTGCTTATGAACAATATTGACGTTATCTCATATTTTAAAGGACCTAAAATGTGCTCTGAGTTACATGAGCACACGATTTTCATCCAAAGTTAGAACTAGAAAGACTGTAGGCTATTTATTCCACATGACAGATTTGTGTCTGTCTTTGCTCACTGGTTTTAAATGGACAGGACAAAGCTGGACGAAGTGATGTCAGTGTATTTAAAGGCCCAATCACACTTCTGATACATTTGAATCTAATGTGGGTAGCAGTTTGCAAGAACGCTGTCAATCAGTCAAACTATACCTACACAGTCCTGAAAACACATATGAGTTTTTGAGTTAACTCTTCACAAAACATAAACTGTTTCTCGCAAACTTTATTTTTCACACTTGTTACTGAAGTTATGAATATTCGATTTCATTGAGAAACAGGCAAGTTTTCAGAGCCTGTAGCTGTCAGACAGTATGAACTTGTCGCCCACTATCACTGCCTATATAAAGACCTGTTAGTCAATATAAAAGACAGTCTTGTTTTTATATTATTGCAGTGCTTTTTCGAATACTACCATTTTGTAAACATTTGAAACAGCACATTTTAGCTCATTATAAAAAGGTATTCTCTTTATTGTTATTGCTATTCAGTTCATATTATTGCTGTAGGGATTACTGGAGTATCTACAGTGACCTCATGGTATTGCCGTCATTTCCATTTCAGTTTATTCCTGTTACACAGGCGGTGTGTCATACTGTCTGAACTAAATTGGTAACTATAGTGACCTCATCACAGTGCCAGTATGATTTTTAGTTACGTATTACACATTTATCATTTTCAGTAGGAAATTACAGCTTGTTCCCGACATCCAATAGTGTTTAAAGTGACCTTTTTTTTTTCGGAAAGCTTAAGGTCAGGTGTACCAAAAGCTATACATATCCTTATATTCTTACATTTATATGACAATAACAATCTGCAATATAGCAGTATGTTGCAGAATATACATTTGGTGGAATCAGTGTTCTAATCAGAATTGTGCTGTTCACTCAAATGAGATGAGCTTTGGTGTCACACACCTACATTTCCATATTTTGTTCAGTTTTAAGTAGATCACATTGGTCTTAACAGCAGCATATCTCTTTGTTCACAGAGTGAGTCAGTATTGATGGTGCCGTATGTAACTCTGGAGAAAGGTAGGCGATTGTTGGGGCTATTCCCAGGTCCCCAAATACAGACACTTTGAGTTGGTAGTCGAACCGAACCACCACCTCAAACCACCAGTATTTGTCAACCTGGGAATGAGATTCAACAGTCACCTACCTTTCTCCAGAGTTACATACAGTGCTTTCTAAGAACAAGTTAAGCAAAAACAAGTCCTTTATCCTCAAACAGCTGGGCAGTGTGATGGATATCCATCTGTGTGAGGACTGTGACTATTTAGTGTGTAATTAACTGGTAGCATGTGTACAATGTATGTCAGATTATTAACCTCTATACCAGTATCAACATGTGGTAACAATATTCCCCAAACTACAGTGTGTGCTGAAGGGATGGAGGCAGGGAACAGATAAGAGGAATAAAAGGATCCCAGAGAGAGAGAAAGAAAGAAAGAAAGAAAGAAAGAAAGAAAGAAAGAGACTCATATTCTGCAGAGACAAAGAAAGCATTATTTGATGTTCTGTTTCAGAAATAATTACATAAAGACTTCTGCCAATATGGAATGTACTTTAACTAAATTAAAAGAGAAAGTCAGTGAGTGATTTTCCAAATTTTAGACCCAGCCAACCTTCTTGTGCGAAGCCAAGCAAGGGACGTCGAATTATTGCACTGCACTGCCCTCTGTTGGGCATTTCCTTTAACTGCATATGGCTTTGTCAGGACCTGTTGACAATTTTAACAGTCTTAAACACTGCTTAATGAAATGGAAGATATTCACTCTTATATAATATGAGCTTGTTACAAAAAAAGAAAGTGTAAAATACATTTAAAAAGTCGGTGACACTTTATCTGGACAGTCAACCTACAGATACAGTTTAAAGAGTATTTGTAACATTTCAACAGCTTAGTTGAGATTCAACAATTCAACTGCTTCGCTCTGTCTGTAGATGTTAATCTGTAAAGTATATGTGACAATTCACTACATATTCTCAGAATAATGCATCTTAAACTGAACTGTTCACTTAACCTAAGCATAGGTTGGTTGAATTGAGCTATTCACTCAACCTATGCTAAGGTTAAGGTATGTTATTACTCTATGGATAATCTGTTAAACATCTCAGTATTAAGGAAACAGCTGAATCTCAATTTATAAACTGTTGAAATGTTACAAACAGTCTATACATGATATTTGTATGGGGACCACCAAGTGTTACCACTAAAACCCCTATCATGTAAGTCCTTGTTTATACAATGTTAAATTATTAATACTAGATTAGAATTCTAAATACAAAGATTTGGGAGATGTTAATGTGCATATTTCAAGTGAGCTTTTTTTGTTCATTTGTCTTAAAAATTGTTTTTGTAACAGGGCTGTTTGGTTGTGTAGAAATGCCCTGGATTGGTCATTTTCCTGAGGCGGTGTAGTAAACTGTGATGTACCTGCAATAAGAAAAAAGACCAACCCAGGCAGGACCGGATTATTAAACCGACTTGAATGAAACTTTTAGTATTCTGGATCACATCTGAAAGTTTCTGAACAGGAAGAACCAACAACAACACGGGTGAAATTAACCCAAATGCATGTTTATTGAAGTCAACAACTGAACTGGTATTTAAAAAAAGAAAAGAAAAAGAACCCAAACGAAATAAAACAAATACGGTATGAACATCCAACAGACACAAACCCTCCACAGCATGCGGTTGGGTCTCGCCTTGATGACATCATCAGCCATAGTACAAATTAACATACATGACAGCACTATTCTCATGTGATATGGATATTTATTCAAAAGGAAGACTTGTCATCCAAAATAATAAGTCTGAGAAACAAAGACGTTGTTTTAGTCATCGAAATCATAACATTTTCGTGAATACAACACATGTAATAAGAGTGTCTCCGGAGTCTGTTTTGGGTCAATTAATACACACCTCACACTCATACACAAACACACATACACACACATATAAATACACCATAGTCACAGACGTCATGCCTGCCGTGCATATCCAGATATGTGTGTGGATGTGTATGTACCCAAAGTGTGTGTGCAAAGTGTGTATGGGTGCGCTTGTAAGAGTATCCAGTAAAGGCAACACTATATACATGAAATTATAGAAAAGTGGTTGTTGAAAGAATAAAATGCCAAACAAAAATGTTTCTAACCTCCAAGTTTGGGAAAATCTAATTTAAAAAAGAGAAAATGATCAATTGAACTAAAAAGTAACACACTGAAGATTATGCACACCTTTTACAAAACATAATTTAAAAATCAATTTGTTTATACTACAAAAATAAAGAGATGACTGGCAGCTAGTGTGCGACTGCCTGAAGAGGAGTTGGTGAGAGTCAAGTGGTGGGGCAGGACAGCTCGGTGTGACTGAAGAGGGCAAAGAAAAGCTGCTGTTTGCTGGCATCTGGTGACAGCTAGTCATTACTGCACTGATGCAATGAAATATGAAGTAGACTGACTGCACGTCCCAATTCAACGCCGTTGTACCCCTACATCAGTTTAATGCAGCAGTAGAGGGGAAAAGCAGAATGAGTCCTACATCATCGGTTTTCTCAGTGTTATCCCGAGGACTGCTGTGTGGAGGAGGTACAGACGGGTTTAACTGGGACACGGTGTATGTTTGCAGATCAGAGAACAGCAGGGGGGTCAGTCGGGCAGACCGCCGCTCTTGTCTCAGGAGAGGTGCTTGTCGGCACTTCTTATCTCCTACACTATCTACATTTCCAACCTTTTCTCATGCAAGCTACATGCTAGCACATTAACTAAGACGAAGGACAGGACGATAAATTACAGGCAAATACAGGTCCATTAGTTTTTAAGAGACACAACACTTTGTTGAGTACGAGGCAGGTATTCCTTTCTCCATTCACAGAGCAGAATTCGACCGGTGTTAAATACAAATCAAGGGCTACTCTTCAAAGTGGACAATAAGCTCTTTGAGACAAAGCCCGTCCTCTGGTCTGCAGACACGAATGCTGTGAAAAGCTGAGGAGTGTTGCAGAGCAAACATGGGATAAACAGAGGTTTGTTTGAAGTTTCCTGCTGCACGTCTCCAAATAGAACACTGTTTAAGCAGAGTTTACTACAGCATCAACCCAAAATCTTATCGAGAGCCCTAGCAAAAAACAAACAAACAAAAAGTACAACAGCTGGCCCTGCTTCAGGTCACATTACCCTTTGTAGTATAGCTAGCTTATAGACACACTAGCCGGGCCACTTGCTTTCAAAGCAGCTAGCTAGGTTGCAGTTAACGACAATGCGGGGAAAGGTACGAAAAGCACAATCCCTGAACGTTCCCAAAAAGGGGTGTACAAAAACTATCACAGACTTAACTGTCTACGGGGTAGACTGACGACAGCAAATGGATTCCTCTCCTAAAACACCCCCCAAAAGTGCCGCAGAGAGCCACCAGCACACGCCAGCAAACCGAGAGACGCTACTTCTACTGTACGTCTATGGACTCCTGAATGAGAGAGAGACCAGCAAGGAGAATCGGACATCGATCTGAGATGGGAAATGGGAAGGAGGAGGGGGGGACAAGGGGGATGGAGTGATGAGGAGAGGAGAGACCGGGTGAAGGTGGATCAGGACGCAGACAAGATGATTGATTAAAGAATGAAAAGAAATGGACGAGTGGAGCGGAGGGGGTAAAAAAAGAGAAGAGGACATTTACGTTCCTAAATGACTTTCTTCAGTGTTAGTGCAGCCCAGACTCCGGCTCGGGCACCCTGCCCACCAAGCCAAACCTTGGCATGAATACAGTCTGGAGCCCAGAGCCTCTTAGTTAGATTGCAATCAATTTCCACGACCGGGCCAAGTGGAGCTTGCCAACACCAAGGCGAACTCCCAACCTTAATAAAACACCGTTCATTTATGGGAACCTTTTGCTAAGCTGGCAAATGATTCCTGCTTGCAATAACACACACACAGAAAGAGAAACAATAAGAGAAAGGGTTTTTTTTGGCCAGGGAGTTTGTCATAATGCATGTAGGCAGTCCTGTTTGGCCCTGTAGTGAAAAGCGAGCAAGCATTTTCACCTCCCCGAAGCGGCAACCGTGCCAGCTTCTTAGAGGAAGTCATGATGTCACTACTCGATGAATTTAATGCCAGGTGGCTGAGCCAAGACAAGCAGTCTGCTACGGGGAGAAAGATGGCGGAGTCAAGCTTTACGTTCAGCGGGGGCCAATTGGAAGGAAGACCACGACGGTCCACATGCGCCGGCCAGGCAGTGATACTCCAGGAAAACTCCACCAAACACTTTGACACCTTTTCGAAGCTGCGTTCGACCGAGGTTTTGCTACAGTTTAGTGTTTGGGAGTAAAGGGCCGACAGAGCAGGGAGAAAACGGCCACACTGAACGTGGCGCTAAAAAGAAAAGTAAAGAAATAGCATCAAAAGCTTTAAAACTCAAAATCGAAATACAAGTCGGAAAATTAGATGTATGGACTCCTGGACTGACAAACCGACAGACACTATAAACTGTTAACACTGACAGTAACACACTGAGACACTGACGAGAGGAAATCTCTCATAAGTCCCCAAAAAACCAAAGGGAAAAAAAAGAAAAAGAAAGAAAAGAAGGAAAACGTTCCTCTTACAAATATTTGCAGTTAAGGTTAGTTTTCATGGCAACATCATCGTCGTTATTTTTATATTTTTTTCCCAGATATTGATAGTTTTGACTCTGCATTTCCACGCATGTAATAAAAACAGGCAGGCTTTTTTTTTTTTTTTTTAGAGTATATAAGTCACTGTAATGCAGTAACAGACTGTATGAGATACAGGAGAGAGGGAAATGTAGAGAGAAAGAGAAGAGGGATAGACCGAGATAGAGGACAGGGACAGAGAGAGAGAGAGAGAGAGAGAGTGTGTATTTACAGCACACCAAACATTTTCTGTCAAGTAAAAAGAATGCTATATAATTCTATATATATATATTTATATATGTATACTGGAGCCCCTCGGCTTGGTAGCGCAAGGCGGGAATGCAATTTTTGCATGAGTGTTGCATGTCATATGGTGCTGCGATGTGGGGAATTCGACGGCCTGTACCAGGGGTTTGAGAGGATGCAGGAAGAGGTTTGATGGCATAAAAAGATTAAACTGCAAGAGAGGGAGATTATGTTTGTCAGTAGTAATTTGCTTTGGATGGATTTCTCTGCCACTAGAATGTTTACAGAGGGATACCGCCTTGTTAGATGAAAAGAATGAGGACAAAAACGTGAAAAGACAGAGCTGGTTTGGTTTAAATGTCGAGTAGACGAGGTTGGCGAGGTGTGAGAAGTGAAGTATCAGCTCGGGATGCCGGAATGTGAGTTACAATTTTGCTTTTTCGAGGCGCTGACAGTTAGAAGTAGGATACGATGCCTGTGTAAAAATGTGTTAATGTGTCATTCAGAAATATTTCAGACGTGTTAGTAGAGTAGGAGGCTCGTGTTTGTTAATCTGAGCATCTACGAGCATTCAAGTCTGTGTGTGAGGAGTTTCCCCCAAAACCGACTCATGTATGTATGTTTGTGTGTGTGTGTTTGAGTGTGTAACTTCAGTTCGTCCGTGTGTCAGTGCAAAATCTCACTTCCCTGTATCAATGCAAAGAGGGTAGTACCAGTTGAAGCTCAACTCATCGCTTTATCCTGCCCACAGTTCTTTCCCTCCCGTCCCCTCCCATCATCCCTCCAACCGAGTGAAGAACTGAAGCGTCGTGAAAACAAATGGAGGTTTTTTTTCCCCGTCACTCCTCCCCACTCTTCTAATCCACGTCTTCCAGCTTTTCATCCTCCCCCCCTTCCTCCCGCTCCTTTCCTCCAATGCTCCCATCCTCTATCTAGATGAAGTACTCCTTCTTGTCCTCTGCTCCGGAGTGGCCTCCCTCTGCGTTGATGATGGCCGTGTCTGCATCGGGGGCATCGTCCGAGCCCTTGGCCTCGTGGGTCAGGTATGTTCCTGTGGAAGGAAAGAGAAAAAGAGACACAGATGGTGAGAGACAGAGAGAGAAAGGGAGGATATTGCTGGGGCCATAAAAGTCAAACATTAGAATGGTAAAATGACAAAAGTCCAGAGACTGTTATAAACAGCGGAGTGGCGAGATGTTCCAATATGCTGTCTAAATTGTCACTTCAGGTGCTTTTGAAAAACTTTTGCTTTTAATGTGGGTGAATTACTACTTAGTAAAGTTTTCTTTAGTTTGAGGGCACGATAGGAGACACAAAGTCCAGAGAACAACTAATAAAAATGTGTTTATCTGGATACCACACAGGATTTGTCTTTGGAGAGATTTTGTGTTGGGTTTCATTTTGACAAAAGTTGGATTTCCTGGTGAGCATTAATTTAATCTGCAGGTCCAAGGACATCAAAAGATCTACGTTAAAAACTGTGTTAAAAAGTGAATGTTTTTAGACATCTAAGCTACATACAGTATAACCATTGTCTTAACAGCATTTCAATGACTCCACTTCAATGTTTATATAGGGTTACTAGTGAAATATATAGTATAATATAACTTAAAAGCAGCTTAAACTGAGTAAATATGTAACCTTGGAATCTAAAAAGCTTTTTCTTTTTAACTAAATTTAGCCTTGTTTTAACCATGATGTCTCAACGTTGTTTGACCTCCATATTACCAATTAAATACTTAAAGGGCTCCATCAAGTCTTTATTCTCCACATAAAACCTATCCCGTGTTTCAGTGGGATTGTATTCCACAGGTGACTCTCTTGCCAAGATTCAAAGTACAACTTCACAATGTCTTATTGCTGTTTATAGGGCTGGACCGCAGCAAGGTGGGGACAGCCCTATAAACATGAAAGTCCGTCTCTGACTTACTGTGTGAGTGATACAGTTGCAACATTGGTCGTTGAGTGTTGGAGTTTCCCCACTGGTCATTGCTCTTTCAAAATTAAGAGGTCCACAAATACGTCCTCAGGAGGCTTTTACAGCCCCTGCTGAATGTACACGGTCCAGCCATATCCTACGTTCTTGACCTAGTTTTGTTCTACTAATGATCATACTGTACATTTATATCTTACTTTTAAAGTGAGCATGGAAGCTCATTTCTGACCTTGGAAATAGCAGTTTGACAAAATAATTTTAACGCAAGGTCCACTTAAAGGCTTTTTTCTGGAGCTTTTTTTTTATTACCAAACAGACTGAAAAAGTCTGAGTTGATATCAGTTGACCGAGGTATGGAACTTTGGCTTTGTGATAACAAGTGGTATACAGGCTAAGAACATGACACAGACAAGAAAAACAGAAACAGACAACATCAGCTGTCTGTGAACACCAAAAACTGGTTACAGCATTTTGTCAACCTACTTTTAAAGTAATAAATAAAGTAATTTAAATGTTAATTGTTCATAGTCTAAATAGAGTGTAATAAGATGTTAATCCTTAGGACGTACAGCTATCTGTTCATTATCCTGTAAGTGCACATGTTGTCAGCCGTTTCATCGGTTGCTTTTATGCTTCATTAGTGAGAAGTATCTGCATTTACTCTCACATAATGACAGTGAAATGACAGGCAATGACCAATTTTCATGTACTACAGTCCGTGTAATTGCTCACTCCTCCGCTGGCCCGCAAACCCGTACACATGCAGCCACCAGACAGTGAGGAACTATCACCCCCCAGATTCCACCCTTTTATGCACAGGTGCCTTAACCAGCCAGAGGGAGTCACTAGTGCAACGACACGGACATGATCCCTCACAGACCTGGCATCTGTGAACACTGGCCACCAAGCAATTGTGTTCAATATTCTGGACCAGCTGGAGGCACCGGAGCTGAGAATTGAATGTGGCGCACTGTGGTGGTGGAGGTGGGCAAGTGTTTATCAACTGCGCCACCTGGGTGCCGAAACATGTTTAGTAACATTTAAATTTGTTCACCACTGGAGCTGAGACATTTGAATTTGCTTTGTTCTTGTTTGTTTATGTGCTAAAAATGTGTTTTGGAGACCTGAATGAGTGTAAAGAGAGAAAAAGAAACACAGTTTGGTTGTCTCCCACCCACAGAGCACATGAGCAACAGATAACTAACTAACATCATGGCCAGGAAGCAATTATGTTTCTGCTTTGACTACATAAAATATGCTGCTGAAATATCGCTGATGCCAGAAAATCTAATCTCACAGGAAGTTGTATGAACCAAAATGTATTAAAAGGCAATGAATAAACATTCACTTATTGTCATTCATTCATTTTCTGCTTTGAGAGTGAAGTAAGTGAGGTTTATGCTTAGAATCCATATTTAGGTACAAGTGCATTTGCATTACTGTGTGTCACTGCATTTGTATGCATATGCATGTTTGTACGTGTGAGATCCAGTCTTGGTACGCATGTATCCATATTTATGCAAGTGTATCTCGGTGTACGCTCATGCATGCATGCATGAGTGGGTCCGTGTGTGTCCGTGTGTGTGTGTGTGTGTGTGTGTGTGTGCGCATTAGCAGGTGACCTTTGTGTCTGATGAGGTATCTGCCGAGGACGATGAGGAGGCAGAGCAGGATGAAGACAATAACAGCCACCACCCCTCCAATCACAGCGTGGTCCACCCCTGAAGAGGTCGACATGGCTGTGGGGTCTTAGGAAGAGGGTGGAGGAGAGGAGAGGAGAGGAGAGGAGAGGAGAGAAGAGGAGAGGAGAGGAGAGGAGAGAAGAGGAGAAAAGGAAGTCATGTAGTAAAGATAAGATGGGAAAGACAGAGACAAAGAGTGAAAGAAAATGAGGCAGAGACAGTGAGAAATAAGGGGAGAGAGGGACAGAGAGACAGATTGAGAGTGGAGAGGGAGGAGGGAGGAGGGGGTGGTGTATGAATATTGGTGGAAACAGGAGACAGATGATGAAAGGCAGCAGAAATAGAGAAAGAGAGAGAGAATAATGGGGAGAGTGACAGAGAGAAGGCAGAAAGAAAAGAAAAGAACAGGGGAGCGGAGAAGACTTGTCAATATATAATACCCAGGCACAGCAGCAAACCTTCAGAAGACAAAGACAAGGATATGAAAAAAGCCAGGCGAAAGAAAAGGGGCCACCGCGTCACCCTCTATTAAAAATTGGTCGTGACTAACATGCAACAGGATTGTGCAGTTTACCGACCAAGTCCCAATCTCTTTAAAGAACCTTGTGGGAACACTTGCTGTTGATGTGGGGTGAAATCCTCGCCCTTTCAGCATTGGTAATTTCCATCTTTTCACTTTAACTGAAGGATGTTATTCTCTTCATAGCTCTGAAAACGCTCAGGTTTAAGGAATCCAAGGCTGGATTACCAACCAGGGAATATGGGCAATTGTTCAAGCACACCAGACCCCCAAATTAGCATACCTAAAGAGGTTGCGTTTAAGTTTGTCTGAACCAAAATAGCAGCTACATACCTGTACAAAAAAGTATAATTAGTTTTATTAATTTACTTTTAGTGTATGCAAAATCACAAAAAAATACACTGTTGATCACTTGAACTCTTGAGTCATCGACAGAGAGGGATTTCTTTGTTACTTTCACACTTACATTATGTATTTTAGTATTTAGGACTAGTCCACATGAACATGGGTATTGTTGAAAAAGGAGATTTTCCTCCTTCGTTCTGAATAAAACTCCTGTCCACACAAACACTTCCTCCAAAGAAAATGCAATTTAATTTCTGTCAAGAGCCTGCCAAACAAACAGGTGGTGATATAACTGTAACCCTAAAGGCACACACCGACAAAGAAGAAGAAGAAGATGGGTATTCAGAAGCCAAGTTATTAGTGGACGGCTACCTGGAGCAGTGCAAGCCAATGCAAAGTGTGCCGGGCTTTGAAGCCAATTTGACAAAGCGGCCAAATCATGGAATTATAACTTCCAGATCTGTGACGTGACGTCATTGTGTCCAAAAAACACTTTTTCCCATAGACTTACATTGTGAAAGAGACGTCTGTAAATCAGTGGAGGCATTTTTTGAGCATCACAATTCTCTTGAAATGACTCGTTTTACGATCAGGATTTGATCCATTTGGTCTGATAACATTTTGAAAGTCTAGAATAGCTGCACAAAAATCATTTTATCCCCATTCAAGTTAGTCGAAGGCTAAACTAGCTGCTAGGCCAGCGTCTCTAGTGCACTTGCTTTATGGGCCCCATGAAGCAGATCTGGGTTATATTATACCCGTGAAGTTGAACTATTTTGGCTTCATGCGCCGCTGAAAAACTTTGGTAACACTTTACTTGAAGGTATCTACTGTACATAAGAGTGTCATAACTATGACATGACACGGTCATGAACCTGTCATGAACATTATGTACATGTTTATGACTGCTGTCATTAAGTGTCATTTGGTTTTTGTAATGACAAGTTGACATTGTTTGGGTTGTCTTGGATTATGACAACTTGATATTAATCAAAGTGACATTACCAGAAGATGTCTTTGTCATGACAAGTTGACATTAAATTTGTTTGGGATTACCTTATTACGACGTCTTGACATTAACCAGGATGACATTACCAGAAGATGTCTTTGTTGTCATGACAAAGACATCTTCTGGTAATGTCACTTTAATTAATGTCAAGTTGTCATAATCAAGACAATCCAAACAATGTCAACTTGTCATTACAAAAACCGAATGACACACCGAATGACAAACAGTCATAAATGTTTATGACAAGTTCATGACAGTGTCATGTCACCCTTTTATAGGAATGAACGGGGCCCCGCCCCAAACACTATATCCAGTTCTCTTTATACATCCATGGAGCTGTGATCTCCTTACCACATTCTGACACCTCTGTTCCTCAATAAAGAGGAAGACTAACTTTACATTTATGTCTAACTATGTAACAAATCCTGTTAGCAAGATTAGAGACAGCATTATTTTGGTCACGCTTGGCATTGCACAAAATGTCGCCTCATTTGAACTCTGTTTTCCCTGTCAACACGTCTGTCAACACGCCTGGACTGAATTTTACAAAAGGTTAAGGGTTTTTTTTGCAACCTAAACTGCAGTTTGGGTGTGGACAGAAGGACAAAACACATAGAAAAGCTACATTTTTAAATACATTCGTGTTTGTGTGATCAAGGCCTTACTTTATATGCAAAATGAGGAACAAGTGTACTCTAGCTTAGTTTACTCTTAGTTTACTTTGGTGCACTGAAGATAACAACACTTAGTTTGTGTTACAATGAATCTACTGAGGTTGTACTTGATATTATAAAGGCTGTACTTAAGATGTGTTTTAAAACAGCACACTAAAATGTGTACTATTCCTATTCTAATATGCATTAAAAGTATGATTAGAGCAAAAATATACTTTGATTATATTTATTTTAGAAACTATTTAAATTATTATTTACTTAGAAGAAGATGTACCTAGACATGTAACGTCAAAATACTTTAATACCGGTAGAAATATACTTGTATTGTTCTAGTATGCCAATATCATAGAAAAATATTCACATTTTTTACATGTGAAAGCCTGTGGGCAAAGTTTACAATTCACGGCTGCCAAGCTGAAAAGAAGATCTCTTTTCCTCATCTCTGAAAAGCTGGCATTTTTCAAAATGCAAGTGTTTCACCCAACAGCAGAGATTTGATATTTCTTTTCCCCCCGGTTTGCCTCACTTCAGCCACTTTAGCAACTTGCCCCTCAGAGAAGAAAGCAATCTACGCCGAAATAATTTGATACATCATTTATTTCGCCTGACTTTTCAGACTGGATCAGAAGCTGGGTGTCACTTTGAAAGTCACTCAGATAGGCACAACTCAAAAGCAACACTTCTCATACCAAAAAGCGTAAAAAGACTCAAAAGGAATAAAAGGAGAAAGGAGTTGGAAAGAGAGACTGACTTGCACTTGGTGAATGTTTCAGGGATCAAACCAAAGTGGGGGGCAGGTATTCAACCAGTCAGAGGAAGAAACAGCTAACTTATATGCCCAGTCGGAGAATAGGAACGAGAGATAGAGATACAGCAACAGGCACTGACAACCAGAAAACTAGACAAAACTGAAACTGAAGAAGGAAGAAACACATTACAACCAACTGGGACACCAAATGATGGGGTGAACGGCCAGTTTTGGAGAAAAACTTCACATTCCAGCCAGTTAGAGAAGTGAAGGGGCATGACAACAGCCAACCAGAGGCCAGCCGCAGACAGAGAACAGGGAGAAGAGGGGGGAAGAGGAGTGGTGGGAAGGGGGGACTCTGAGCTCCAGTCAGAATGACACACACACACACACACACACACAGAAAGTTGGACACACACTCTGGCTGGCCAGTGTGGAGGTGAGAGGGGCATGCTGACGAGGCGAGACTGAGAATGAGCCCATAAATCCTGCTGTCAGCATCAAAGGAAAGCAGACAAGACCCAAGAACACCTCGAAGCCTGACCCCCCCCCCTCCCAACACACACACAGAAAAACACACACACACTCACACACATAGAGAATCACACAGAGGAAGTGGAACACTGTGTAAATGACTTGTACCACTTAAGAGGTCATGCTTGTGTGTGTGTGTGTGTGTGTGTTTTGTGAGATAGATGTGAGTGCCTGGTGTGTGCAGTGCTGGTGTGAATGTGTTTTGAGCCTGTGTCTGTGCATGTATTGGCAACAACAAAGCATTACGTGGGCAGGAGTATGAAATATTCATCCCTCCGCTCTGAAGTTCAAAGTGTCCCCTAGGTTTTTTTTTCCCAGAGTGACAGACAGACGAAAACAGACAGAGTTACAGACAGTCAGACCTACAGATGGACAGACAGACAGGCAGGTGGACGAAAAGTTAGAACGACAGAGAGTCAGAACGACAGATGACTGGTGGAAAAGTTATACCTGTAATGTTGCCTGCAGCATCTTCTGAAGTGAATGGGTAGATGGATTGTTGGATGTCTGGATGGATGGTTGGTTGGATGAATGGATGGATGGATGGGTGGAAGGATGATGGATGGATGGATGGATGGATGGATGGATGGATGGATGAGTGTGTGTTGTGGGTTCAGGGTGGGGTTAGGGTTTATCAACAGGAGGAAAGAGGAAAACAAGAAAAAAAAACATGAAACAGCTGTGAGAAGGCCACACGAATGCCATTTTTTTCCTTCATTGTCTTTCTTCAATTCTTCTCTTGCTGTCAGCTTTGAGTATCTGTTTGTGTTTGCATGTGTGTGGATGTAAAACAAACTCCCGGTATCCTTGACTGCTCCACAATGCGACTACAGTTTGTGTATTGAGGAAAGAAAATAGCAAAGTAGTAACTTGAATGGTGTTTGTTTTTCCACTCCATTACTAAGCTTCTCGCATCTCTCTTGTTTGCAAGTGTGTGTGCAAGTGTGTAACTCAGATGGTTTTACCTGTGAAAGTGTAAACTCCATTCAGCCGGACGGAAACTGAGGGAGTAAGGGAGGAGGCAGGGGAGGAGTGGGAGGGTTCGGCGGTGGACGGAGCGATGCTTGCAGAGGAGGGGGCGGGAGTAGTCGGGGAGGAGGAGGGAGAGAGTGGCAGGTCGGGGAAGAGGACGTTGGAGAGGGTGGTGGTGGAGAGTCTGTCCGACTCGTCAGCCGTGGTGGGGGTGGGACTAGGGGAGGAGTCAGGGGAGGTGAGGTCAGAAGGGGAGGAGGAGGTAGTGGGATCAGGGCCGGAGCCAGAGAAGATGTCAAAAGGAGAGGAGGATGGGAGGGGGGAGGAGGAGGAAGATGGAGAAGTTGGGGAGCCAAGGAAGGATAAGGTAGTGTCTGGGGAGTCTGGGTCCGTGGGATCTTCAGGGGAGGAGTGGGAATGAGCAAGCAAAGCGCAATAATGGCCATGGATCGCATGAACGGGACACATAAATGTGAAAGGGAAAGAAGCGCAAGAACGAGCCAAAGCGGTTGGATGGCAAGCGTTGGTATGGTGGCGCGGTTGGATGAGAAAACAAAAAACAAAACCACAAACAAAAATAGGAGGAAAGAAACGAAAGAAAATCAGAAGAGAAAAAAGATGGAAGAATCACAAGCAAAAGCCACAACAAACGACAGAAATAAAGAAACGTGATGAAGAAAAGTAAAAGAAGACGACATTCCCAACTCTTTCTACAGCAGTCCCCCTCTTCCCTACCACGCAACTCATTTCTGTTTGTGTTTCCTTCCCTCTTTTCTCCTTTCGTCATTACCTTGCACCAGGAGTTTGTACTCCCCCTGGCTGTTTCCTATGCCGTTGTCGGCATGGCAGAGGTAGACGCCATTATCTGATTTGTTGAGCATCTCGAAACGCAAGAAAGCACCGTCGGCTTTGGCCAGAGGGGGGAGCTCTCCATCCTTCTTCTCCCACGTGTAGGAGGTGGGCCTGGTGAGACAGGAGAGAGAAGGAGACACACAAAGAATGAGAGTCCTGAGTTGAACTGTAGATGCTCAGCACATTTTTCCAAAAAAAAAAAAAGTAACTGAAAGTAAAAATCAAAAGAGGGGTGAAGTGATGAGAGGAGAAGGGAGCTGTGACAAGTGCTGCGGGACAAAGAAAAAAAAAAAGATGAAATGATCAAGGGTGAAGTAGAGATGGAAAGAGAAGAAATGGTCGGAGGAGAGGGGAGGCTGGGAGGAACGAAGATGGAAAAAAAGAAAAGATAAAAGCAGGGGAGGAGAGCAAGTGAGAGCGAATACGAGAAAGAGATGAATGTTAGAATGGGAAAATTGAGAGTTGTTGCGGCAGACAGCAGAGGCGCTAAAAAAAAGGAATGATGAAGAAAATGATGGGAAAGAAGGACGGGGTTGGGAGGAGTGCTGCGACTTGAAGAAGAGAGGAGATTAAAAAAGATGGAGGGAGAGGAAGACAACAGAACAAAGATCAGCATTTCAAATCAGCCTGCGTTAAAAAATCCATTCTGCATAACAGATTGTGTATGAGAGAGATAGTGAGACGTGTCTTGATAAAAGAATCAATTATGTAAATGTACGAGTCCTTAAGCGCTGTACAGTAATTACAATGATGGGGAGACTGAAATGGGGACAGACCTGAATGGGTTGGACTGATTAATCGCTCTTGGAAATGTGAAAAAACCCTCAGTGACACCTAAAGGTCCAATCCGTAAATTCACAATGGAGGCCAGGTGGCTGTTTAAGGTTGTACAGTAACTGTTAAAGGCAGGGACAATGTATCTCTTAGCCCGAGTTCCTTCACACCAATATTTTAAGACCTAATTGCTTCAAAAAGGCAAAACCTATAATAATTCTATCTGTTGTTGCTGCCGGGCAAAAATCTCAAACTCAGTGAAAGCTAATGAGAAACATCGTCGGCTCCCTCGACACCTGCTGCTGAGCAAACACTTGGGAGACTGAGGACTTCCTGGGAAGCTCAAAGTTTCGAATATGTGTCATTTTAGGAGTATAAATCCTAACAATGCTAAAAAAAAGGAGCTCCAGTGTTCAGCTGTCCTGAGGCAAATGAACATTCAACCATGAAGTATTTAAAACAAGCGTGTCCTGACCATGTTTGGCTACATCGTCTGGCTACCTGCAATAAAACAGAATCAGCTGTTGTATTACACCGCCTCCAAATGCTGGATAATATGCAATTAACTGAACAATTAACTTCCCATTTACAGGCTGTAACTGGTGTAGTGTTATTAAACATGATGCCTGAAAGTCAATCTCTGTTATACAGCAGGTAGTTTAAGTGCAGGAGGCTGATTGGTCAGACCTCGCGGATAATCCCCTACCATGCATGTCTGAAAATCTGTGTTTTATTCCTGGCTATGAGCTCTGCTTAGGTGGAAACTTTTCAATTAGCACGCATGCATTAATAAACACTGCACAAAAGTCATGATATGCTTGAAGACATTCTTTATTGCAATTATGGGTACTTTGGTGCTGCATATTCCTCCCCCTCCCAGCTGTGATCATTATCACAGTAAAGAATGAGCTATTGGGTGTTTTTGCTAAATTATTAACGTAAGATTTGCTATATTATGTTAATGTCTACAATCTTTGTAATCCAACATTTATTTAAAAGTATCTGTTCACTGATCAGTACTTCTACAGTTACAGATTACTTAAAGATAAGCCTGGTGTTATTTTAGATTGTTCTTATGTTCAGTTCAGTCCAGCGCTCATTACTGTCTGACGTCCTACAGAATATGGACATATTTAAAGCTGCTTTTATCACTTTTTTTTTTTTTTTTTAAATAAAAAACAGTAGATGAAATGACACATCACTTGATTCTGGAGTTCCCCTCATTTGCTTTGAGTTTGAAGCTTTTTCCAGCTTTGGATTTTTACAGTCTTCAGCTTTACTGTTTTAAATACAGCTCTCATTAGCATAGTTTCAAGACACATCAGGCGAAAAAAGGCTCTGAACAAACCACTGTCACTCCCCGCCCAACGCCAAACAGAAGAAAGATGTAATCAGTGGCAGGCTGGTGAAAAAGAGAGTTTATATTGGTCTTACACAGAGAGGAGTCCAAATGAACACTAATGTAGCACCATGTCTCCTAGATGTGTAACATGTGTCTAGAAGCAACAGTTTAATAACACACTAGCCATAACCTGAATGGTCAGAACTCCCTGCCTCAGGAACTTAGGTTAGCATTTTAGTATTTGGTAAACTCAAGATTTACAGTTTTAATGACACACTTTGTTTTATTTCGTCTTGTGTGTTTTCTTTAATGGTTTTATTGCCTTTATCGTGACTGTGTACACTATCTTATCTTGTTCTGTAACACTTTGTAACTGTTTGAGAAAAAATGCTATACAAATTAGGTTTATCAATATTATTATTATTAGTAATAGTAGTAGTATTATAACAACTTTATAAGGTGATAATAGTTGTTCACAGCATACTGACAATCCCTAAGTGACCATTTACATTATTTATTGTTTATTTAAAGATGGGTTTAATTTACCAAAAAGTAATAAGCAGGGAACTAGCTAAGGTATTTCAAACAGGAGTAAGAAGTGCACTTCTCGGGACTATTTTGAGCTGCGGATTAACACACATTAAGTGAACTAGTGAGTATTTATGGCAGCAGGAGAGCACATGTAGATCTGACTTTAAATAAACCATGGTAACCAGGAACAGGTCACTGAGTGCAATGATGTAGCTCACTGATGAGCTCTCAGTAGTTCTTGGACAGCACCACAGCAGTATAAATCAGACTTTGGCCACACACGCAATACTTGTTAGAAATCAATTCATTATTGGCATTGTTAACAATAAGATATATA